ATGTTAATTATATGTAAAAACTAGAGAGAATCATTTCCCGAAAAAAATTTAATGCTTATATCTCAAAAACAAGGACACAGATTTTGATTTTTGTTCTGCTTAATAGTTCCGTTATATATTCATAAACTATCAATGATCTACAACAGTCTTTCAAAAATTTCTGTGTCATTTGGTCTCTTGTGGAGAGTTGTCTCATTGGCAATCATACCACATCTTCTTTTTTATATATCAAAAAGCCCGTTATTTTGAAACAGAGTAACGAACATCCTTAAGGTCCCAAAACAATATAAACTGCAGGGTACAATTGACTTTATTAATTCTAATTTTAAACAGATGAATTTCTCGGTCTCGTAGCGATTATTTTAGAAACAAGGTGGCCTTGATGTTTTTACCTTGTATGTTTTAATTTAACACACCTTATTACCGACATTCATTACGGCAGATATATTATTATGTTCTGTGTTCCCGATTACCATTCAAAACAATTGTTTTGCTATTGTATACAATAGATTTTATTCTGCGTTTCAGATTACCTTTGCAATACAATGGATTTGGCAATCGTGTACAGCAGATTTTAATCTGTATTACTTGTTGTATCTGCAGTAGGGAAATCCGTTTACAGAGCGTGATTTGAAAACCATGCGCATTTTGAATTTAACTATGACATAAACATGTAACAGCAATAGAATGAAAATATGACGCATAAAACTCAAGTGTTTTTATCTTTAGTCCCTTGTACTAATAGAACAGGTTCTTCTGCATTTACTTTATTGAATAATTAAAATATAAACTAAAACATAAAAAAATAAAAGTAGACAGTTTCCATTTCCACCTACTTGTTCAATTTTACTAAAAGTACAATAATTTAGCATGGAATAGATTATACGTATATCAAACGAACTAAAGAATTATCTATACTAGTATATAATAATGATGATCTTCAACCGAATTCAGATAATAAATATGTTCATATAAGATTATTCATATACAATGTCTGATCTGTGATTTTGAGAGAGAAAACGCTTAACTTTAGGAATATCTCTGTAGGACAAATAATCTGTTTAAAATAAAGTATTTGTTTTCTGTGATCTGTTTCAGCTACTAGGACTAGGAAGAAGTATATGAGAGGTTGGTGTACACACATGTTATTTTGCTAACAAAAAATATCTAAATTGATTCGGGCAACATATTCAAACAAACAAAAAACAAGATGATACCAAGAGGACAAAATGGGATAAATAAAATGTTTACTTTCTTTTATGAATAATTTAACTCATAGGGTAAAAATTATCATTCTCTATGTAAATACCATAAATTTACCGAAAACAGCAATGTTAGAAGGAAATTGGAAGTCCAAAGCTTTTGAAATCTCAATGTTCGTTTAAACATTCAAACTGTGTTTCAATTAAAGTCTGAAATAGTTGGTATTAACCTAACTATTATCTTTAAATGAATGACTGTTTTCTAATTTTGTTTTTCGTTCATTTGAAATAATCTTTTTTTTCAGTTACTGACTTAGTGTTAAATATTATAAATGAAAACTGCGACTTCAATTAATTTACACCAATAAGTAATCCCATTTACTATACATGGCTATTAACAAATTATGTTTTGACTAGAGAGTGTTATTTAACAGCGATATAATGTGTAGAGAATCGTCTGTACAAATTCCGCCCAAAAAATAAATAATGAAGATAGTGCGTTTTAAATGAGACCATATCTAGTACATTTCCCCCACTGGTTTTTAGGATAAAGGATTCTTTTAAAATGCTTTTGCTTGTTTCCTTCCTATGTCTTAATAAATACCTAAGTTCCCCAATGATGGCCATATTTGAAAGTTCGCGGAATCAGTATGTACGTTTTCAAAGACATTTAAACTACAATTGTATTTCACTATAAATTTTGAAGTTGAACAAGCTATTGATTTTATGAGACTTCTTGTACACATTATCTCAGAACTCTGTGGTAATAGACAGTTTTATCAACATTTCATTACACAATTACATATATACGGCTTTTAATCTCTATGCTGGATTTAGTAACAGTGGCAACATTAGTTCGTCAGCGTGCATTAAAAACAAAACAAAACAAAACGTCTAAACCAGGCACTCTGAGGTTGATTGTGACCAGGTTTGGTGTAAATTGGCGCAGTGGTTTAAGATGAGATTTTTGAAAATGCTTATTCATTTTCCATCATACATCTTTACGGACACCTGAGTTCCCCCTAAATGGCTTTTTTGGACAAGAGGCGTGATCACCAAATATTTTCCTCAAACTGAATTATATTTAGATAATTTCACAAAAAGTTCTTCAAATTAAGCAAGGTAATGATTTTATAAGATATTTTGAAAATATTTTATAGACTAATGCGACAATCTTGGTTGGTCATCAAGGACATCAGTATATATTATAAAACGATATTTCTACAGGACGTTTTCGACAATATTTCATTCATTTAATTTGCATCGCTTTAGATTGTCAATTATAAGCATCTGACCATAACGTTCTATTAAACTTAATAGTAACAGCGGCCATGTTACATGTAGCTGGTAGGCGAATAGTAATCTACATACATGTAGTTGTTAAACCCTACACTCTAAGGATGTTTGTAGCTAGAAATGTTCATGTAATTTCGACTAAAGAGCCTTTTTAAAAGATTTTTATGACAATATTGGTAGCCAAGTAATGAAAAAGCTTGTGTGGCTGAAAAGAAAAGAGATTTTGGTGAAAACTGGCCGATTAAATTTGGGAAAACTTAGCTTTTTATAAATAAAACTAATTTAATCACAAATTTTGAGAAACATTTTTTTCTGTTTATATTTTAATGAAAACTGGTTCGTTGGTATTATATTCTACTCTGAATTGATTCCTGGTGTCAAAAACTTTGTTTTTTTGGGGTGCGGTTAAAAGTGAACTTTTTGTTAAAATAAATCACAGTTTAGAAAATAAACTTCTTTCTGTGCTAGGATTGCAATGAAAATTAGTTTGTAAGTATACTAATATGCTATTTCAAATTGATTCCCAATGTCAAGTTCGCAGTAAAAACGTAGTTTCTGTTAAACAATCTCAAATTTTGATAAACATCTTTTTTGGCTAAATTGCAACAGAAATTGATATGTATATATATACATATAATATGTTCTGCCAAATTGATTCCAAGTGTCAAATTTTAATCAAAAACTTGGTTCTTGTTACAATATCACAAATTTTTAGAAGCATGTTTTTGTGCTACGATTAAATGAAAATTTATATAGTGGTATGAGGTGCCAAATTGGTTTTTATTTGAAAAGTTATCCTTCGACCCCAATTTTTCAAATGGCTGACATAATACATTAAAAAAAATTAAAGTCTACTAATATTTTATAAAATCCGATATTTACTAAAGACATACCCTGAATATTTCCTGGTGTCAAAATTAATGAAACTTAAAATCATATAAATTGTCTTGCTTTGTAAGTATCAGAATTCATTATCGTTTATGCGCCTTGCACAAAAAAGTGCAAACGGGGCCGTACCTAACACCTTCAATTTTCTAATTTATTGATTGGTTGATGTTTGTTCTATCGCCCAGTGCCAAATATTCCATGCATATTCAAGACGAGATCGAATCAATAATCAACAGAATAGGTAGGTAGTGCAAAGTCGTCGACCGAGATAAAGCCTGGGAATTTGGTCTCTTACAAAAGGTTATGATAGGTAGGGGCAGAAATTGTGCCATGCAATAGGCCAGCTACGGACCCCTCAGACTTGTTACAATGATTCTTTAACGTGCAGAGAGCCCGGCTCTCGCCTTACGATGCATCGGATTTTACGTTCCCACTCCGACCGGACGTGGCTGCGAATGTAGACACACCGCACAGTCATTTTGGCATGGGTTTTACTGGCGGGACGAGAGAAGTCCAGGTATGACCATGTTTTTAATATCACAATCAACCTTTGGGATTACGATGAATATACGATAAAATTTCTATTAAATACAATGGTAACTGAAGTCACAAAGTGTATTGTATATATAGTAATATTTTCACTGATTGGTCTAGTTTTGTTTGCTTAAGAGATCATGGGCAAATATTTCATGCATATTGAGGGCGAGCAGAGCAAATTAAACAATCAATCTAATATAATATAATAGATGGGCATTGTAGAGTGGTCGACCGAGATGAAGGGTAAGAAGTTAAGAATGACTCTGGAAAATGAGGATAGGACAGAAAGTATGCCATTCAGCAGACCATCTACATGTACAAACCCCTAAAAGAGATGTTACAATGGTTCCCTAAACGATGACTCGAATTCAACATCCCAATTCGAATCGGACGGGGTTGCATACTTATACATTCGGTACAACAAAACGTACACCTCTATACGGTATGTGTTTTGCTAATTGTTGAAGGCAGTACGGTGACCTATAGTTGTTAACCTCTACATCATTTGGTCTCTGGTGGACAGTGTCTCATTGGCAATTATACCACATCTTCTTATTTTTATACCTCTCTTTAGCATATGTACGAGAAATTCAAGAAAACATATGTCTACACCCCTTATCGACTCTTGATTTCAGTTCAACTACAGAAAATGAAAATAGCAGAATTCATTTTCTTTTCAAAAATCATATATAATTAACTTTTAAACGTACTTCAAAATGCATTTGCTTATCAAATATCTTTTCAGTATCATCTGAATGTGTAAATCTTATCTAAAAACTATTAGGCTGAATTGTTTCTTGATATTTAGTTATTGTAAATCTTATCTAAAAACTATTAAGCAGAATTGTTTATTGATATTTAGTTAATCATACATATCTAATGTTGGACTGTTGACCTATTGCATTTAAAAATCATCATTCAAAGATGAAAATATGTGCGTAAATTTATATCAGAAGATCTTAACTTTTGTCTTAAAAAAGGCACTACTGAAAGCTTCCAGGGTGCTTGTTTTTTGTGAAAATTTGTTTTATACAGACTCCTTTTGGAATCATTAGTATATCACTGCTGATACCTTACCTTTCGTTTAGATTCAGACATACGCTGGTCCCTTGATGACATGGCCTCGCCAGGAGTTTTGACAGCCCACATTACATAGCTTATCCGTCCGTAAGTTACGATCAAAATTACCAACGGATTTATGTATTGCAAAAAGAACAGTACTCCATTGTAAGTAAGTTTTGCACCTTCAGTCTCCCAAAGGATTTCTTCACAAAATGCAGGAGCTGTTGATGTATTTACATATTTTTGTGACCGTGACGTCACCGCTGTAGGAATGGGAATTAAAAATGATACAACCCAAATGCTAGCAATAACTATGAATGCTTGCTTTTTCGTAAGTTTCCTTCGAAGTGGGTATATAATTGCAATATACCTATCTAAGCTTATTGCAACAAGTGTAAATGAGCTCAAAAATACCGAAACTACTTGTAAATACGTCACAACTGGACACAAAATGTTTCCAAATGGCCAATAGTTAAATACAAGATTGGCAAGAAATGTAAACGGAATACAAAATATTGCCATCAAAATATCACTGAGTGCTAAACTGACAATAAAAAAGTTCATCACTGTCCTCATCCTCCGGGCTCGGAATACAATGTAGCAAACGATACTATTTCCACCAACAGCAAGAATAATGATAATTGAATACATAGATATTGTAATAGCCTTTAAGTATGTTGGTGACTTCAGAGGACTGTGTCCTGGTGGCAATTCCGTCGGAAATGTGCCGTTGTCCGTTGCCAGTGGCATAAGAGATGTATCAAAGGATTCGGCACTCATACTTTCAGAAATCACTATCCAAATAAACTTGATTATGAAGTATTCCAGTATTTACAAGTTATTTTTCAAAACACCAATCCCTCGTGCTTTTTCCAATACTGATATGAGCACAGAAGCGGACAAAATATAAAGTTGATTGAACATTATCTGTTTCACTAAAAGTCTCTGGGTTGTCTTATATAATATATATTAGCTCCTGAAAAAAATATAATAATTAATAACATTATATTAAATGCGGGTTTTTACGCGTAAATAATTTATCAAAAGCATCCGTTCATTCAGAAATGCTTTGCTTTACCTCTCATACATAAACATCTCTGTATTATATCTTTTCATAACTGACTCTTTGTGATAGAAACTAATAGAGAATCATTGAACATCTATCTAGGCTTAAGAGAATACAAGATTAAGCTACTTAATCTACAGTCAGTGGTACAGTAATTAATGCTGATATCTTAATCAAATCAGTATCTCCAATCATACAGTCTACATCCATAAACAATTGTTGATGATAATATATAATACCAGATAATAGTGATCGATGTAAGGCAAGGTTACTGGTTTCCTGCATTATTAGTTACAGAGAGCTCCGCCATAAAGGATTGATATGACAACTTCAATGACATCCTGAAATTTGGACATTACTTCATAAAGCTTTTAAATATAGCAAAAAGGATCCTATGGTATCAAAGAAAGCATGAAAAGTGGTTTATTTCAATTACGCCAAAAACCGTTAGACAAATGGTTTAATGTCTTTTAACTTCCTGTTGATTGTATTGATAACTTCCTTGATAGTAATGTGTGGATTTCGGAAGCGTTAGCCTGCTTGATGATTACTGAAAACATTGTAGACTGCGCTAATTGTTGCTCCTATTAAATTCAATTGATTCCAAACTCTTGGTTTTAGAGAAAATGTGTGTTTAATGCAAGTATGGAAGATCATGTCTCCATTAAAAACATTATTGTCTGGTAATTTCTTATTATTATGAGACTGAGTGGAGATTCAAAATCCTGAGGAAAATCAGGCTATGTGCCTTCTCTAGTTTGAACTATTCCCCCCTCTTCTAAATGTCGATGAATATTCATAAAGTCGGTCGTTTTTACACTAATCAAGTAGTTATATACATATATCTTTTGATATTTTGACAAATATAATTGTAACAATGAAGGTAAGTATTCAATGTCAGTCACAAAGCATTAGCAGTTTATTTCAGATACATATATATATACATGTACAAATTAAAACTTCCAGTACTTTAAATCTGTTATTGAGATTGTGGTATAAATATATTCTACTAGCAATTACTATTTCCAGTAACACAAAGATACTTTTAAAATGAGCAGCCGTAAAATGTATATTATTTCTAACACGTTGTGTATTCTTTCCAAAGAAAACTGAAGATTACAGATGATATCGTGTTTATTTATTTTCTTTTACATTAAATATGCATTTCTGTAAACATCATGTAATGCTTTTAAAAAACTTATTGAAATGATTTTTATTGACAACTAGGCACCTTCGAATATATATTTACTTATTTATAATGTCAGAGCAGAAATCCAATTAACGGTAACAATTCTACTGCACCAGATTCGAATTTAATCAATGTCTTTTCAGTGATAGTCGAGGACGAAATATTTGAAAAACAAACGTTGAAGAGCTGACCGAGTAAATTGTAAAACTCCAAGGACAAACTGATAAGTTCAATCCAATAGGAATACACGACTTTAAGCCATTTGATCTGACTACGGAGATGCATGTCTAATGTCGCCCGACCGTGCTAGGAGATATGTGTCCACCATTAGACAAAGGCAAGGAGATTTTTCAATAATTTTATTTTAGAATAAACTCTTCAAAACAATATATGCATCATATTTGTTTATCTAAGTTTTATTCTGTGTACTTAAGAAAGATTTTTTACAGCAATGCTTTGGTTTTCATACGAGCAATGCTTTGGTTTTCATACGTGGTACTGAAAAAAGTTTAAAAAAAACAGCCACACACATATATTTGGTCAATTTCCGCTGACTTTAATGTCCGTATCTATTGTGACCATCATATTTAACAAACATTGTTCTGAATCTCCTTGGCATAGCTCGAATAAAATTTCATATTCGAACCTGTGGCATCCTTTGCCATTCGTGTTGCAGTAATTGACTGAGATAAGGTGGGAGTTGGCTTTGGCGTTTGTTGACGCGTCTATTAACTTCGTCCCAGATATGTTGTATTGGGGTTCAAATCAGGCGAAGTTGAGAGTCTTAGAAATACACCAAGGCTGTTCTAAATTTGAAAATCAATGGTTACCCTTGCTGTAAGGAACCGGGACATGTCCTACTGAAACATCTCTCTGTCGGTCAATAGCATTGAGCATATTTGGCTGTAAAATATCATTTACATTACGTTGAGTCGTTAAATTTCCTTGGACACGCTCTTAGTTCGTTCTGCAGTAAGATATTGCTGCCCGCAATAAGATTTAAAGGAATTCTATAATGAGTTATTTCATTGTAGTTTGACTTCTATTCATATCTACACGTTTAATTCTTTGTATTTGATCGGGCAATTATAGTTAACATGGAAACAAAACTTACTTAATCCTGCAATTTTGATCTTGCATTGATCTGCATTAGTATCGGGTATAGATACAACGTTTATGCATATGCCGTTCCGTAAACCTTGTAATCTAGCACATTAAGTTTCTGGCGATTGAGTTAAATTTGAATGTTAATTCATGTTTAAATTTATTTCAATTATCGCCACTCTGTCATACGCTTTCAAGAAATAAAGACTAATTTTATTGAATACTTGATTTTGATTATTTGTTGGCCTACAAAAGACTTCTTTGTCAGCTTTCCGTAATAAGCAAACAGAACCTGAACATTATCTCCACAGAATACCTCATAACCCGCTTTATCCAACTATAACCACATAAACCCAAAATATTAGTGAATTTAGTCGTGTCAATACCCTTCTTGGAAACACTTTATAAAAACATGCATGTTACCAATCGATTCACGTTTCTTACGAAATTCTGAAATTGTTCAACATGATTATTCGTTGGTTGCAAAAAACTTGATAGCATGCAACAAATGTCAAAAAAGTTTCAAAGTGTTTTAGAAAAACCAACCTTCATGAAACCTTACTAACGTTAACTATATTTGTCAAATAAGGCATGTAACAAATAAAAATACAAAATGTCAGATATGATCAAAAATTAGAGATTCCAGATTGATAGATCGTTGATTGATTGTTACCTGTAAAACGTCCAGTGGCAAATGTTTTGTGCATATTCAGGACGAATAAAAATTAATAATTAATACCCTAAAGGTAGCGTCTGGTATGCAGGTCTTTTAAAATTCAATTAATTGTATTAATAAAATTATTAGAAAATTTAAATAACAATTGTATGTTTTATTTTATTTATTTTATTTATTTTATATATATATATATGTATCATTACTGGGATGTCTTTGATTAAAACGTGTCTACGTTACATATAAATGTTTCAAAATCAATTAAATTTATTAATGTTGGGATTTATTACGAATAATAATTTCTTTGATCGATTATTATTTATAGTGGTGGAAATAAAAAGGTATTTCAACAAAGAAAACAACGAATAATTGCCTTAACAATATTGAAATGACCGTCGATGTTACATGTAGTTACCTGTTTTATTTGTAACGTTGAAAGTTTCCCACAATTCTGACATCACCAAATGTGTTCGTATCAATAATATGATCAACACGACGGATGCCATCGTAGAGCAGGATCTGCTTACCCTTTCGGAGCATCAGAGATCACCCCGTTTTTATTGTTTTTGTTTTTTTGTTGTTTTTTTAATTACATTAACAAATGACAGTTTGTTCTGCACTACAAATTGATAGGCGCAATTTGTCTTTGCTTATATTTTCATCGCTATAAAAAAACTATCATATATTTAAATAGTATTTGGATACTATAATTCATGGTCATGGTCATACATTATTTGCCTAATTTGCTCAATTTTCCTCTTATAACTTTAGAGTTTCGAATTGTAACAGATGTTTATTTGAAATATCTTACTAATCGCTGCATTGATTTGCACGCGCTCCGTCTTCAATCGTTTAATTTTAGTTTAAACTACTAGTCTTATCACAAATTACAGATAAAACTATCATATTTAGTGATTAACACGGCGTTGATAGCTTCACTTAACAGAATATTGGTTTGTTTTGTTTACAATATTGACAAGATAAGACATGCGTTTGATGAGTGTGGGATACCCCTGTTTATTTTACACAAAGTTTCAATACCAGTCTCTACTTACAATTCCTTGAAACACATATATTGACACTCATCATTGGAAACTCCGGTATTTAAAGTCATTTTTGAACGCATGCAAATTAATTGTGATTAGTGAATTCCAAAATACAGGTCTTTGAGAAATAGTTAATTATTCAATTTGTAATATAGGCCTTGCAAATAACCTTTATTCAGAAATCTATACATGGCAATACATCCAATTTTTCAGAATTTAAGTATATATCTGATATTTTCTGTGTACAGGGCTCGATGGCTGAGAGTCTAAGTACATGTAATTTATCTACAGTATCACTATACAGCCTATTGACACTGATATATTGAGTTCGAAGCCCGAACGTTGCAGGTGCGTTCGACTCCGATCTTAATTGACAAGGATTGCAAGTTTCCCTGACGAAGATTGGTGGTTCTATCCGGGTACTCCGGCTTCCTACACTAATAAAAACGGACCGCCATGATATAACCAACAGAACTGAACGTGGCGTATAACACCAACAATCAATTTATATCGAAAGGTGCAGAAAGAGAATACTGTTTTAAAAAGATAAAATCAAAAAACATTCATTACTGACAGGGGCGGATTCAAGCGGGGGCGTGGCGGGCGTGCGCCCCTCCCTAAAATCTGCAAAGCATGGGTTGTCCTTAGCTTAATAAAGAAAATTTAAGTTTGCGCCCCCCTAAGCTAAAATCCTGGATCCGCCCCTAACTGATGATGATGATGGATTTATGTACGTTCCGTGGCAAATATTAATGCATATCAGGACTAGAACATATATGGTAATATGATATAAGTACAAACCCAGCCATTTACTAGACAGTCAGACTGAGTCGGATTTTAAACGTGCTAGTTCACAAGTTAGCATTCCGAGAAATACATGTCCCTT